TATGATGTAGGGCATCATACTGTATCTTCTGCCTATAAAATGTGGATGTAAAAATATGAACTACTGTAATTCTAAACTAATTATAGAATAAATGTCAACTCTTCAATACAAACATCATATGTATGTTTTAGTGATATGTCTAGTAATTCATATGAACTTTAATATTAGCAGACATACCATTCAAAGCCACACTGTGAGTTCAGTTTCTTACCTGTACATTGGTTTGGACCTGTTGGAGTTGTGGTTGTAGTGGTTGCATTGGAACCATCGTTGTCCCCAAATTCTGCCCTGTGTTCTGTGAAGTCATGGACTGCTGATGTAAAACACACATCGTACACAAAAACAGGAAAGAGAGAAAAAAAGAGCATTTAACGGCTTCATCCCTCTTTAATCCCTGCTGACCCCAAACAGGCTTATTCTGAAATATCATCCCTCTGCACTGATCCTGACCTGGCTGCTGACAGACGATCTGTGCTGTGATGCCATCTCCACGGCAGAGACGGACTGGCAACCCGGAGTGCCACGCTCGCCCTGCGCCTTCATCTGACCAGCTGCACAGAGGCACCACAATTTGAAACACAAACACGCCGAAATAGGTAGAGACTTAGAAGTAGGGCAACAAAGTCAATGTTGGGAAGACAAAAAGAACTATTTCATAAACATTTCCCCAATACTTTTATTAAAGACATATCCTTCGTAATATTCCTTGTCCCATTTCTTTCCATGTTTGTCAGCAGAGTAAAGGTACTCACTGGTGGCGTCCGAGAGAGCCGTGTGCGAGGACTTCCTGGAGCTTCTGGATGAGGCAGAGGGCGTTCTGCTGCGTTCAAACCGCTCCAAAGCTTCTTTAAGACTCGTCGAATTGATTTGTGACTCTGAGCCGGAATGTTGAGACTGTACAAAATATACAAAATGTGTAAATGTATTTATGCATCTATTCAAAATGACCATAACAGTACAATAGAATTCTCAGTCAATATTCATTCTAATACCACTGTTCTTTCTATGTCTTTTCCAATGATTTTGTTCTGATCTCGATTTAATCCAAGAACATAAGAAGATTGCAGCAGACTACTTTCATGTAAAATATTAATTAAGTAATTACTAAATACATTTTTCATTATTTTATATTTTTGGTTGACAAATAAGTATTGTACATTATCATAGCACCCTGTACATGAAAATAATAAGTATTTATTTTGTAAGCGTGGTGGTCGTTTAATGACAAAACAAATATAATGTGTTGATCAAAAACAAAATGCATTGGGTGAAGCAGTTATGCTACCCAGAATGCATTGCAGAATTCTACATTTGAGCGTTAATTTTAACTTTGAATAAACTAATTAGACCAAATAAATAATTGTATTGTTTTTTACCAACCGTAATCAACAGGGCAAAGCCAAAGTAGCTCTATGTAAACTACCTAAGTAAGTCACTGGTTTCAATTATTCAAACACAAGGTCCTGGTTTAGATTTGAAGTCTCTGAGAATGTGTTGATACTTGGTGGATACTAGTGATGGGTAATCGAAACCTCACGTATCGTTTCGGCACATCCAACAAACTGTATTGACACTGTCCATGATACTGTGCCGCAACTGTGTTGCTTGTGCTGCTCTATACCGACGCCTGGTGGATCTTATAAATCATTGCATACAACTCACTGATTCACTGACCTTTACATACTTGTTTGTACACAAATTCACCTTACTGCCTTTTCTGTGGTATTATTTTACATTGTATGTGAAAAATAAAGTGAGCAAAATGTCATTGAGTGTTTTTATATATTTTTATTCAAAAAATAAGTATGAACAAAGTTTTCCATTTAGTCTATTGCGTTTTTTGGACAAAATGTCCCCAGCTTTTGAGAATATCAGTATAAAAAAATGAATCAGACCACCTGTCATTAAAGCAAATAATCGTTTTCACACCAAATTTGTGAGAAAATACCATTGTACTTTGCAAAGAAAAAGAAGCAATTAAAAATGTAGCATTAAAATGTGATTTTAGTTAACTGCACAGACTTTAGTTAATCTGGGTGTATTTAAATCATGCTTATGCTTTGTCCTAAAACGCCTAAACATTGAGAATTAATATCGATTATAGATAAAGCGTGAATCATGAAATACAAACATTACCCTATTTGCTGTGAACAAGTCAAAATGATCCCACACGGAATACTTTTTTTTTAGTGGTGGGCTCCATTTCGATACCGAGAACGGGAAGTTTTTCCTCTTTGAAAGGGTAGTTTTTCTTTTCTGAGAGTGCTTCATCCCGGTGACACTTGCAGATGCGGCACCTTCAAACACAGTTTGCCGCGTCGGTGACAAGCGACACTGCGGCTGTATCGGTCACATGGCTTTTTCTTAAAGCGACATGCGCGTCGATACGGGTATTCGCTAAACAAACTCGGCACATGCACCGGTGTATCAGTGTTGCTGGACCCATCACTCCTTGGTCCTATTGAAGTTAATTCTGGTTTATTTGTAACTAAATCTAGTTCACCAAATTATCCTTCATTTGTGGAGATGTAAAAGCACCAAGTAAGTGGCCCCTAGTCCAGTAGTCCCATCACTTGTTTTGCTTCTGAAGTCCAATAAGATTGACCCATAAGAGTGAACTTGCCCTGACACTGATAACCCAAAAGAAACTGGAAAACTATATCCAATATAAAAACATCAAATATAACCTGAAAGCAGTCATTTTGCTTAAACATACAGTGCTTACCTTGTCAGCCGTGATTTCAGGTAGAGATTCTTCTATTCCCATATCCCGGCGATGCTCTGCACGGACTTCAGCGTAACTGCAAACACAATTATCAAAATCACACAAGCTGAAGTCATGACACGTGAGCTGTAAAGGATCCCCAGGCTCATACCTCACCACAGTGTGTGTGCAGACAATAAACTCTGGTCTGGAGTTCCACTGATGGTATGTGATATAATAGTGTGTCTGGAGCCAAATCCACTGCTGCCCTTTAGTCAGGAACCTGTAGTAACAGGATTTTCCCTTCCCATACTGCATCACTGTGGAGAACATTCATAAATAAGACCAGTTGATATACTTTTAAACTACACCATACTCACAGTGTTCATGGCACTTGGCCAGTGTCTCCAGGTCATCTACATGATAGTAGTCATACCCTGAAGTGCCAAGCACCTCAAAAGGCAGGTACCCAATGATAGGTGGAGCCCTGGACAAACACAAAATATGCACTTCACTGCAATAAAGAAAATGTACATGAGCATTGTACTTATCAAATGTAAAATATGACTAACCTGTGGTCCAAAAACAGAAATTTCCACTCCAGACTGTGTCTGGAAGTAAACTCCTCATTGGGTTCTTCTACAGTGCACATTTCCTGTAAATATTTACACATTGTAAACAGAATTGGTTTGCCTCATTGATAAGAAGAATCAAAAGTTTATTACCTTGATAAATTGTGGTTTTGCTAACCTCACAGTTGCAACAAAACAGACTGTGTCTTGAAAAGCGGAGTGGAGAGATCGCTGGACCACACCATCAAAACTGTTACGCTTACAGTTAGGCACTGTGAAAGAGAGACAACAGTTACATAAAACAGACAGAACTTAACAAGGATGGTAAAATTACAATGATGCTTGCCATTATTTAGAGACTTGAAGTTTCCAATAAACTTGACATATTCGTACACAGGAGGCTCTTTGGGGTCGATGGTCCCTCGGAGCATGTGGCAACAAAACTCTAACTGATTTGTTGCTGCGAAACAGATGCAGAATTTTTATAATTTCAAATAGTTTTGTTCAAATTTCAATCACACATTTTTCTCACATACATTTCATGTACTCTGGTGTCAGCACCTCTTCTTCCATGATGTGAGAAGACAGAGCCTTGTACACTTCTGAATGCTCACCAGCAGGCAGGAAGTTCAATAAGTTCTGATCCACAAGATCAGACTGAAACAACAGCTGAGTTTGTTCTTTGTTTCTGAGAGTTTTATGTTTTATTTTATAAAGACAAAGGCTAACTTACAGGTAAATGCTCTAGTAGAGATGACACACTTTCAGAAACATAGATAATATTCCCATCGGTCATGATTGCCAGGAAAAATCCATCTAAGGCCTGAACAAAAGAAAAATGTTATTTATTTCTGTAAAAGATTAAAGTGTGACTCAATATTTCACATGCACCTCTAACATCAGCTGAGTGAACTCTTCATTACTAAGAAACATAGGCTTCCAGTCCTGTCTGATCTCCGTAGATTCGGACTGTGACGCACTCTCTGCAAACATCAGTGATCGGATTATTCAAATGTAACGTCTCTGTTTATGACCATGTCTCCTCTCGACCCTACCTTTGTGTTTGTGCAGAAAGTCGATACTCTTCTGTAAAATTGTCGACTTATCAATCTTGCGGCTGTTCCCTGGCAGCATGGTGCCCAGCTCCTTGATGAGGACATTGAACTGGTCTCTGCGTTTTTTTTCTGATTGATTCCTTGACTCACTGTTGAATCAAACGCAGCAGTGAGCATGTTGTCCATTCAGTATGTTCCAAATAAGATAAAATACATATAAAAGGTGAACTATTAATGCAGAGTTAGTTAAAAAAATAAAAAAGAATTTTAAGGATCCTAAACACTTATTCACTTAAAGTGACACAAGGTTTTAAGAAGGTGTGTTTCTTCAAAATCACAGAAATCATACCGTTTTGCTTTGTCCTTTTCATCTTCTTCCATCAACCCAAATTTACTGTCATCCCTAGAAAACAATAACATATTTTTTACATTTGAGCAGACACATTTCATGTATTAGATTGCTTGTAAATATTACCATGTAACCATAAGTATGTGAAAATAATTGGATTTTAGAATTTCAAATATTTCACAACTACTCACAGGTCAATGCTGGAGGTCATTTTGCAACCTATTCACCGTTGTAGTGTTGGAGAGAGGTCTTTTAATCTTGAGGTAGACATTTGTGAAATCTGACAAAACATAACTACAGTGACTAGGTCACGACAAAACACCTTCAAATATTTCAAGTAGTCCTTCTTACCTTTTTAACTTGCTGCAGCCAGTCCAGTGAGAGGAGGAGAGTGGATCAAACGTGTCTCGGATCAGCCCAGATGTAAGCTTTATGTACACACCGACAAAAGGTCTTTCATAAAACAGCTACGTTCTTCTCAACTTTGTGGGTCGGATACAGAACGGCTAAAACAAACAAAGATAGAAAATGATATGCTAAAGTAATGAGATGCGTAAAACAAGGGAAAATGTGTCAGCAGCAGTTGTTCACCTCCTACGTTGTGACACATCCTGTGTTTACAGAATACTTCATGCTGTGTTGTATTTTCAGATGTATACATGTAGTTATCAATGCAGTTGAAATTAGCTTATTATCCTAATTATTTAGCATATCATTGAAATCGTGATTAATTATAACTTCTGTAATGTAAAAAGTGTATAAAATCAGCAATGGCCACAGAAACCCTATATGAATTGACCTCTTGTCACTATGAACAAATCAATCTTTTCCTAACCTAAAAACACTATTCCTTAAAATAATATTGCATTGGTTATATAAAAAGCTTTATTGGACACTTAAAGATGCGTCACATGTCATTATTCTTTTACTACATGTACAGTGGTGAAAAACTACAACTACAGAGAAGCAACCAGAAAATGTAATCATCTGCCCTTCCGACCACCACCAACCATTCACGCACCAGATTCATTCAGATTCATTCAATGTGGACGTCTTGCCTAGACCGCAACAAGTCACAACAAGTCACAACAACAACAGCTGCAGCCGCCCCACTGTGGAACCTTGTGTTCCCAGAGGTCTCCCATCACAGTACTCAAAGGCCCTGACCTGCTTAGCTTCAGAAGTCTAACAGAATCTGGCTTTCACATTCAGGCGACGCCTGTCAAATGCTGTTCATCTAAGTTTATCAGTCAATTATAATGATATCTTAATAAAAATCAGGCACCAGGGAAAAAACAATAATCTTAATTAGTCAGTTCTTTTTAAAAAAAAATTTGTTTGGTTGGCTAACCTTAGGACTTTTCTTCCTGAGATTCAGAAACATTGTTTAGATGTAACTAAGCAAAGCTCTTGTTTGATTTCTTTGTACTTTTAGTTGTTCAGCTAATTTTAGAGTAATAACAATGGCAAATATGTTGTGTTACTTGGCAAGCAAACCAGTTAAGCCATTAAAATTATTCACACGCGCGGTCTGTAGCAGGTTGTGTAACACAGCAGAGCGCTGCTTGTATAAGTGTGATGTCACTGTTTCACTGACCTGCTGGCCCAATGACCTACTTTCTCCTCTATTCTTTCTAACTTAATCACAACTCACCAGGCAACCCTCGCTGAGCGCCAACAGCACCACTCTCATCTGAGAGTGGAGAATTAAACAGCGTTTCCTAAAGTCTGGACCATTGCCTTAAATTAATTCAAAATATTTTCAGATTTAAATCCATATGTCATGCGTTTTGGTTAAAATCAGTAAAAAATAAGTAACAAATCTGTCTTTGAAATTGGCCATTGGTCAGTTTTGGCCAAAAAATAAGTAAACCTCGGAATAGATCAGACGTCCTTCTCCTCAGTGACACCTGAGACTAATATGAAAGACGTTTCTTCATAGAAAACATTACCTGCCTAGCTGGAATCAGAGCGGAAGTGCGAGTTACTAGCAGGGGAAATAGTTGGTGGGGCAGAATGGATAGTACCACCAACTATATTTCAGTATGTGAGCTCCCATCAGCGAGTACAGTATGTGGGCGTGCTCAGATGTAGGGCAGCTCTTTATGAGTCACTGGAGTCTTGGCCCGTGGTGCCACTCGTCATACACCAGCCCCACACACAGACGCCAACAGCATCGGCACACCATGTCCAGCCCAAAAATAGACTCCAGAACACTACCTCAGCTGAGTGTGACTTCATCATCTACTTTGTATAGTAGCAAAAGACGCAACTCTCATTGTCAGAGGAAGCATTGATAGCTATTTCTCTCCTTATGGGCTTTTAATTATAGTTTGCCTTTGTATTTGCTTATTAATGACATTTGACAAAGCTGAACATTACACATAAACAAAAATATCCGCCAAACAGGCAAAACGAGCACTTACAGAAGTCCAGACTAGCCACCAGAACCAAGAACTGAGAAACCCTTCCACCCAAATAAATCCAAAAAGACAATAACACAATAGTTTATGACTTTACCAATAGCGTATAATATTATTTTAGTATGTTTTCAGAAGAATATCTTTAAAGAGATTATTACACGTATTACATAGAATAAAAGGTAAAACAGGCATTTGTCTTCAGCACAACATTTGTGGTCACTTGCGCACATCCTCAGACAAACAATATACGGAATATATATATTGTCTTATCATCTGCATCGGACAATAGGACACATGTAACAACGGCTGTGACCGTAATTAAGAAGAAGGTTAAACAAATTGTTTAGGAAAGGAAAGGAAAAAAGGAAAATTAATTGAAGGAAGTGAGATTTTGTACAGATAAAGTTTGAGGATAATGTCATCACTTAAGTCAAAGCTGAGATCACAGAAGAAACTGGATCTGAATACCGAGCCACACTTTCAATTGTAGTGTATAAGATAATAATACAATAATATCCATATTAATTATAAGGATGACATTTGTGCACCAGTATCCATCCATCCATCAATCCATTTTCTTCTGCTTCATTCGTTGCCGGGTCACGGGGGCAGCAGTCTAAGCAGAGACGGAGAGGGCAAGGCACCTTTTTCCGGTCGAGTACCATGGCCTCGGTTTTGGAGGTGCTGATTTTCATTCCAGCCGCTTCACACTCGGCTGCAAACCGTCCCAGTGCATGTTGCAGGTACTGGTTCGATAAAATCCTGTGGTCCCCGAACCAGAGCCCCTCCGACCCCTGGCTGCGCCTAGAAATTCTGTCCATAAATACAATGAACAGAACCCGTGACAAAGGGATTGAGGAGAACCTTGAAGTATTCCCGTCCAACAATATCCCCAGTCGAGAACAGCAGCTCTCCACCCGCACCATACACGGTGTTGGCAAAGAACTGCTTCCCCCTCCTGAGGCGTCGGATGGTTTGCCAGAATCTCTTCGAGGCCGACCGATAGTCATGCTCCATGGACTCTCCGAACTCCTCCCAGTCCCAGGTTTTTGCCCCTGCAACAGGCCAGGCCGCGCTTGGCCTGCCGGTACTGGACAGCTGCCTCAAGAGTCCCACGAACCATCATGGCTCGATAGGACTCCTTCTTCAGCCTGACGGCATCCCTTACTACCGATGTCCACCACCGGGTTCGGGGGTTGCCTCCGGGACCAGCACCAGAGACCTTGCGACCACGGCTACGAGCTGCAGTGATCCACGTGGAGAACATGATCCACTCAGACTGAATGTCCCCCTCCTCCCACGTGACCTGGGAGAAGCTCTGCCGGAGGTGTGAGTTGAAAGTCCGTCTGACAGGGGGCTCAGCGAGACGTTCCCAGCATACCCTCACTACACGCTTCGGTCCGCCAATCCAATCCACTTTATTTCTATAGCACATTTAAGCAACAGAACAGTTCCAAAGTGCTGCACAAAAAAATAAAGGTCTGACCGGCTTCCTCCCTGCCAGCGGATCCAACTCACGACTAGGTGGGGATCGGTTGACAGCTCCGCCCCTCTCTTCACCCGAGTGTCCGAGACACGCGGTCGAAGGTCAGATGATACGACAACAAAGTCGATCATCAATCTCCGGCCTAGGGTGTCCTGGTGCCACGTGCACTGGTGGACACCCTTGTGCTCGAACATGGTGTTTGTGTTGGATCAGGGGGACCGTTCTTCCCGATCACCCCTCTCCAAGTGTCACTGGCATTTCCTACATGTGCGTTGAAGTCCCCCAGGAGAATAATGGAGTCTGGAGTCCGGGCGGTGCACTGTCCAGTACCCCTCCCAAGGACTCCAAGAAGTCCGGGTACTCTGCACTGCTGTTAGGCCCGTAGGCCGTCACAACAGTGAGAGACTTGTCCCCCCCCCCCCCGGACGCGGATGGACACAACCTTCACATTCACCGGGGAGAACTCCAACACGTGGTGGCTTAGATGGGGGGCAATGAGAATGGCCACCCCCTCTCGCCGCCTCTCCCCGCGAGATACACCAAAAAAGTGGAGCGTCGAACCCCTCTCAAGGATTTGGGTTCCAGAGCCCAAGCTGTGTGGAGGTGAGGCCGACTATCTCTAGTCGGTATCTCTCAACCTCCCCCACGAGCTTGGGCTCCTTCCCCCCCAGTGAGGTGACGTTCCACGTCCCAAGAGCCAGATTTTGTGTGCGCGGACTGGGTCGTCGAGGTCTCCGCCTTCGACTGCTGCCCAGTCTCTGCACCTCGGATCCCTCTGTGGGTGGTGGGTCCACAGGAGGGCCTGTGCATTAGTACTGTATATAAAAAGTTATATACAGTAGATATTTTTTGGGCACATTACATTTTAAAAGCGTGTTTTGTTCTGACCACATTGTGTTGGGTTCATCTTATTCAAAAACATGATATATTTTGCTCAGAAGCCCTGAGTCACAATGCATTGGGCTGAGAGCTGATTAGCTGAGCAGGAGTTGTCCTTTTTTACACTTTTGTGTCTAAAAAAGCTGATCTAAAGCTTTTATGCATGTGTAAAACAATGATAGTGACAGCTCTTAAGAAATTGATCTATTGCACTTCCTTAGAGGTCATATCAAATGTAATGGGATATTTTTGTATTGTTTATTTCTTCATGATAACATAACATTTATCTTCCATTAAAGGGTGAACGTCGCTGATGCTTGTGCACCTAAAGTGCTGCTGTTAAACATCAGGAGCAGCTGTGTTTCCACTCTGTCTTCAGCCCATGGACAAAAGTCTTCTTTGTGCCCTTAGACAAGAATGTCCCAGAGCGCCTTGGCCAGAACAGTTAGTGGTTGAGGTGGTAGTGTTTGGCTTCTGTCTCCAAAGGAGCAGGACCAGAGCCAGGTGCCAAAGCAGAGCCAAGTAGGTCATTCATTGAAGCTCAAATCAAAGCAACTGAGACAGTGAAAATGAGCCAGCCACATCCAGATGCATTACAATCAGTGTAAAACTACACTCTCAAAACATTTTGTGTGGAAAAACTACCTAATTTAATTGGTCAAACTCATATTGGCTGGATTGCATTTACATAACCAATGGTTGACATAACATTGGTTTTTGGAATATTGATATTTACTGACAGCACTCGAAATGACCATTCATTTGAAACATGCAGCATTCCTAATGATACAATACAGTAGTTTGGTGTATAAATTATTAGCATTTTTGGCCGCAGTGACACTGTACACGGCTCTGCAAAAAGACTAGGTTGAAAAATTAGTTGAAAGCTGTGTAAAAATCATCCAGCAGTGAGGGGCATCTTACCTTACAGCTTTAAATCATCCCATTGTAGCTCCGACATCTCTGATCAATGCTGCATAATGCTAATCATACATTAAACTATAGGGATACTGGATACTGCATCCTGGCTTCCCTTCAGAAGTTACACTTTCATCATAACTATACTTCCTCCTTGGCCAAGACCGGCAGCATCCTTGAAAAAACTAATCCAAGCACTCGTCCGCTACATCCATCACAAACACCACAATCTCAGTTCTCTTGTTTTATGATTTTATCCTTTGGGGAGACTGAATTCACCAATATGAAGCCCCCCACACAGTCGCACCACCAAGCCAATCTCAGCTGGATTTGTGTCTGCAAACACTGTATTCAATAAACATTTTACTGCACAAGTGATATTAATGTTTTAATTTAATTTAACAATGATTTGTAAAAACAAAAAAACAAAAAACAAAAAAATAATCTCTTTTAAAATGCATTTTGATTTATTATGGATAAGGTAAGATAATAAAAAGATATTACAATTGTGATGCCATTTTTCACTATCCTATTATAACAAGTGTAATTTAGGTAATCTAGTTTAAAAAAAAAACTTGCAGAAACTTTTGAAACAAAGCATTTCTTCTCGCAGGAATAAAATATTCACTGCCAAAATGTTAAATAATTGTTTCAATGTAAATTTGAATAGTCAGACCTGAGTTGTGCAAAAACATTTTGAAAAAGATGAGATATCTGATTAGGAATGAGAAAATAATGCTTCTTATGGAATATATTTGAATACAAAATATTCAAATTAGGAGGAAGAGTTTTTTTTTGTTTATCTTCAGTCTCTTTTCTGTTTGCAAAGAACTGTGTTGTAAATATTATCCTATGCTTGCGTTATTGCACCACTGGTTAGAGGCTAAACTGCATTTTATTGCAATGCTCTGACTTTGTAACAAAAAAAAGGTTGAATCTGATCTAATCTAATCTATTATGATACAGGTATAGAATAGGTAACAGGTATTGTCAATCATTCCGGTGATATACGTGCTCGACAAATAAGACCAGAGAGTTTTGTTCAAAAAGTGGAAAATCCTCCCATATACCTTTAAATAATTGCCGTCTTCATGATTTGCGATCAGTGGTGCAGATTAAGAGATGTGGTTGATGGAAGGGGTGTGTGTGTGATGCAAGCTTTAGAGTTTTTAACCAATGGGTGTTTTTTGAGAAAGAGCAAACAGAAAGGAAATGCAATAGCCAAGGCGGGATGTGGATGTAGCAAGAGAGGAGCGGAGAAGGTGGCTGTTGTGGAGGTGGAAGATAGTACTGTAATAGAGAGAACATATGAAAGACACCACATGGATGTAAATTCCCACATTACTCCAACAAAGCTGCTTGTGTCTGACAACAAGGAGGACAACATATCTGTATAATGGTCTATACTAGTAAAACCTTACAATATAGAGGGTTGTAGTGAGCCGTCACATGATGAGACATTTCAAGACCATGTCCAAATGAGCCACAGCTCAAAAAGTCCACAAATCCACATCCACAATATGAAACCGGTAAACAAACAGCAGGAAGAAGTATCTCCTCAGTTGAAAGACCAGTATAAATGCCATGATAATATTAAACATGGGGCTGGTGCTCTGTGAATTGGGTGGCATCTCTGACTGCCACCCCCCCAACCCAGAAATGGACTAAGGGGAAGTAAATGGAAGGATGAATATTAAACATGTGCGTTAAATGAGTAAATTATGTATCACCTCTGCAGATTAATATTGGTCTAAACTCTAAAGCTTCCCTGCGTAAAAACATTATTCTTTATTTATGTTATGACACACATTTACCACACGGCACATTCTTATTCTTGGAAATCGTAGTATTCGGATATTAGCCAGATAAGATCCTAAATCATCCTATTATGTTAACTTATAAAACAAAAACTACTATATACATATCTTGTTCAATAACTATGGAAGACATGGATGGACATTGACATAGTGAGAATACATTTTGCATTTTATTTGTTTATATGATCCAACTAGACATCCATCCATTTTCTTCCCCTTCATCCATTTCTGGATTGGGAGGTGGCAGTCAGAGCTGCCACCCACTTCACAGAGCACCTGCCCCTCACTGATCTTCCTGCAGTTGGATACTGCTCATTTGTCACTGAGAGTATAGCCTTGATCTTTCTACGGGGGCTTCAGGCAAAGTGGGGTGAAGTGTCTTGCCCAAAGACACAACGGCAGCAGACATCAGTGGGAGTTGGTGGAGAAGGTCTTGCGGTGGGCTCGAACTCACAACCGTCAGGCTGAAAGGCCAATGCTCTACCAGTTACAATGTTATACAACAACATATCTCTGTCAACCTCTGTTTTTGTGATAGGGTTATACTACAGCACTATAAGGAGGACTCAGTGTGAGTTTAGGCTGAGATACAGGAAATCACAAGCCCTGGTATCACTCATTATGTGTTAATCTGTAAAATATTAGCTGCTGCCAAACTGAACTGTTAAAATATGGAAGAGCAAAGCTATGCTGCAGGAGCGGCTGGAGAAAGGTCAATGCTGGAGCAGTGTCTCAGAGCCGCTCAAGTTTCAGTCCAAATCTCCAGAAACCATTCATGTAGCTCATGTTTACCTCATGTGACGAAACACATTCTCACATAAACTTACTATTTTACTATTTGTTTGTATATTGTGGGTCCCCAATAGTATTTAATTCAGCTATAATCATACTTCCATCTAAACCAGGCGTGCCTAAACATTTTAGCAAGTGGGCAACTTTAGATCATCAGAGTTGTCCTGGGGCTGACAACATTGTTTGTAAAATAAGTTTGACAGGCTTCAGGCTGTTCATGAGGTTATTGCTTATCCATATTTTGACAGGGCTCAAGTTGCCTGAATGACAAATGTTCAACATATCACCAGCTGCATTAACGCTATCTACATAATTTTGTCACTCAAATAAAGTCAATTTCTGATTTCTAGAGGTTCAGAACTTTACAACAAGGTATGACATACTTTTGATGATAGAGCCAAAGTTAGCTGATGAGACTGTGAACTGGTGTTTATGATCACAGACTACTTTGAGACAGGACTCAGTTTGAACATGTCAAATCTAAACACTCAGGGTATAGAGAGAGACACTTGCAGTATGACCTTTTTTGTAGATATTGACAATTGATGTATAGCTCAAAGTCTACATACTGTATGTGAATGACATTCATTCCTTATCAAAGGTGTAGTCAAAATGATGCGTCAACTATTAACATTAGATAGTAAGAGCTGTAGTAAAACTGAGTGGCCTTCCTCACTGACGGAAGCAGTGACAACAACCCGGTAGGAGGTACAGAAGAACCAACGTCAGCAGAAACAGTCTCAAGATATTGCTCTTTCTTAACCTGAACCATGATATTGCATGTGTTATACTAAGTACCCCACATGCTGACCAAAAACAATCTTGATCCTAATTATAGAAGCCGATCTTAAACATACTGTAAAGGTGCATTTCACAACTTGGAGGGTGGAGGGTCCGCTTTTTGCTTGGGTCCATCTACATTGTTTTTTTGCTGGTTTATTCTACAATCTGGTATAATTATTACACCATCTACTATATTGGAGGTCATATCTGCGGAGAAGTGATCGGATCCAATGTAAGAATGTTTAAGCAGGTATTCCAAGCAAAGAAATAACATCTCCATGGCAACAGGCAGGTAGTAGACATCAGGCGGAAATTTCCGCAATGATCCTTCAACAATTAGCATAACCCATTCTTGAACTTATCCCTAACCACGCACTGACCTTGTTTCACCAATGTTCACATATGATTTCATAAACTCACTTAACCCTGTCACTTAAGCCGAGGATGCAGTGGCTTTCGGTTAAGACTATGTCAGTAACAATACATTACAATTTATAATGTTTTATCATTATCTAACATGTGAATATACACGTAATATACCCGTAAAATAATATCAAAAACATTGTATTATTACTATTATAAATATCACATGTATAGTTCATAACTTTCCACAGAACTGCTTATTTCAAAGGTGTGACTATGAAGTAAACTTATCACCACATATCTTACATTTATAACAGATTTCAGGATGTTAAATACGAAACGTCATTACGCATGGCTCATCTGACTGATGACAGATCCACATCACTGTAATTATTACTTCTATGTGGCTGAAGAACTTGACAACATAGAGAAGAGCATAGAGAATAATGTGGGAAAACTTGCTAACAGAGAAGTCGGACAAATAAAAATGTAATTATCCTTGAAGTCTGGAGTGCAGGTGGACCACGGTAACCCTGCGAGGAGCGGGAGAAGTCGACCGGCAAAAGCAGCTCTGATTCATTGGAAGCTAACTCACAGCTAGCATCAGTAAACAGTCCTTTTCCCTTTCCACACTGAGACCAGTGTCACTGCGCGTCTGTCACTGCGCGTCTGTCACTGCGCGTCTGTCACTGCGCGTCTGTCACTGCGCGTCTGTCACTGTGCGTCTGTCTGTGATACAGATCCATCACTGTCCCGGAGTCTGATCGATCACATCCCGCTGTCTACAACCTGCAGCTTGTGCGACAGCAGCGGCGCTAGCTTACATCAGTGTAGAATGTGGGTCAGTGGGCCCTTCTCCAGTCTGACAAGTAAAAACACAACTGTACGGGGAAAGCCTTGGGGCTTCTCTGCGCTCCAACAATATAGAGTTGTTCTTACCGGGAACGACGCGACAGTCCCGCAGACGAGTGTCTTCGTGGGAATCCCTGGTTCAGGAGCTGCGCGGAGCTGCGCACTCAGGACACACAGACACAGACTGGGACTGAACCGCAGCAACTGGAGCAAAGGCTCCGGGTGCGATACCCACACATGCCACATGCTCACAGACAGGCGTATCACCGAGGGTAAACAACTACCTCCAAATACATATAATACATGTTTATTACAATTACACATTTGTTATATACTCACAAAAATATGTTTAAAACAACTGAAAATCATAATTATTAATATAATCATATTCACTTGGAGAGCTGCCAAATCCCACCATTTTAATTATAACACAAATCATCTCATAAGTGTAATGTTATATTTTAGCAGTAAATGTATACTATGTATGTATACATGTATACATACGTATACATATGTATTCCAACTGTGCTTGAATAAGCAGCAGCAACACAGGTCTCCACATATTTTAACTTTTTTGTTAAGTCTACCATCGTTGTACATAATTATATCCTGCACAGACTATATTTTTTACCTTAACATGTTGCACACACAGACCGACTTCACGACTCCCACTGATGACTGCTGTCGTTGTGTCCTTGGGCAAGACACTTAGCACTAGAACGCCCAGCCAAATTTGGGGCTAGTTTAAGAGAAGAGGAGCTAACCCGCTACTTGGGTTGCTAACATTTGCATGTCAAATGAGGTGATGACCGAAACAACAGGGGGCTAGGGTGGGCTTTGTTTATTCGTCTGGGGGAGGAAGGGCTGCGAATGAGTAGAGATTGGTCTGTGAGATAATGCAGAAAAGAAATGCCACGGCAGTCCAGGTTCCAAACTGTGAACCCTGAGAATTAATATACTGTATATATTTTGTAATAACATTTTTCTCAGTGGCTTTGGTGCATTTAAAGTTCTCAAAACTATTAGTCCATTTTTCTTATTTTGTAGCATTTAAAATCAATAAATCTCACTAACCAAAAAAAACCTGTGTGTTGACCTCTCCCTAAGATGGCAAAGTAAAGTGGTGTGTATTTCACATATGTACTGCATATGCAATAATACAGTAACTTATGTCTCTTTATATAGAACAAACATACAAAAAAGCGTTATGGTAGAACTCTGATAAATGTAAACAATATATTAGTATTAGATAGCAATATGGCCTACGTGCAGGACTGTACAAGGACTCTACAAGGACTCCATGTTATGACTATGATTTGACTGTCTCTTTGTGACACGTGTGTCTTTCGATGTGTGACGTGACAATGACTATATAAACTGTGTACTGCCTTTATTCTGTCTGAGAGA